TATGGCGGCGGCCGGCGATGGTCAGAGAGTTTGGAGAGGAGCGCCTCCTGCTGGCTTGCGCCTCCTTTCCCTGCCTAACGTTGTGTTGCGCCTTGACAGCCCTCGCCATGAGGAGGCAGGCTCAGGCACAGCTGATGAAAGAGCAACGATAGAAGAGGAAAAAGTTTGTGTACAGGAAGTCTCTTCTTCTTCTGAGGGACTGACTCTGCAGTGGAAGCATTTCTTTACTTTTGTTGGTTTGGGTTGTTTGTTAGCATCAGATCATAGTGATGCAGACCAACATATTCCTGCACCGAACTTCTGGTTCTTCTGGTTTCTCTTTTTTACATTTTACTAAACAACAACTAAAATCAAGTGACCATTTAACATTACGGGACCAGTTTTTAATTTCTGTTTGCATATTCAATGAAGCAATATTGTCTATAGTTTGTACGTTTATCTGATAGCTGAACACTGTTGCCTCTCTGAGCTCCAGGTTGGGGCCTTGATTGAAAATAAATCTAAAACCTGTATTTAATAAGATAAGATAACCTTTATTAAATTGGTTTTGTTACAGCAGAAAGTAATAATAATAATAATAATAATGGATTGCATTTATGTAACGCTTTTTGGGACCCCTCAAAGCGCTTTACAATTTACCCTCTGGCCATCACCAGTAGGTGAAGTGTCTTGCCCAAGGACACAACGACCGAGACTGTCTGAGCCAGGGCTCGAACCGGCAACCTTCCAATTACAAGACGAACACCCAAATTTTGAGCCACGATCGCCCGCCAAAGTGGACGGTGCAAAGTTATATAGCAAAACTTAGAAACACTGGAATAGAATAAGAATGAGATACTACATAAAATAGATTAAAATAATAAGATAATAAAATACTAAGATAACCGTTGACTGTTCTTCCTTTAACAACAGTCTGTAAGCATTTGGGAACCAAGGGTTTGCATTTCGTGCTTGTTTTAGGACTTGAGCCACATGTTTTAATGGTTGATGGTCTGGAGTACTTTCAGTTTAGCAGGCAGATTTTTTTTTCCTGCGTAGCCGTGCAGTTTGTGTGGGTGTAAAGGACGGTGATAGGTTTGTAGCATAAACCTATTCGCTGGAACGTTAAGGACAATTTAATTACACAGCAAAGCAAGACATGAGTAGGCAAAGTTCTTTATGTTTCTATTTACAGCCTGTCGATTTGTATGAACAATCATTGAACAACCTATAACCAACTTGTAGGTTGGTTTTTAATATATCTGTTATTAAAAAACAACCTACCAACACGCCATATTTTACTAAAGCTGATTCTCCCTTTATCTATCAAAATGAAATTTTAGCTGACATTTTACAGTAACTACAGGGTTTCTATGGACTTTAACACCACAATGCATGTATGACAACATCCAGACAGAAAGCTGAATGCAGACTGCGATAGAGAAAAAATAATGTGAATTCACTTTATGTGTCCTTTAACAGCAAGGCTGCTGTTATCTGCCTCTCACAGTCCTCAAAGGGCCTCACTCTGCCAGTCAAGCAGAAAGTGTCAGTTGCACAGATCGGGTGGAGCTGCTCTTGGTGCTCAAGTTTCAGTTTGATCTCGGCTTTATGGAGCTTATCAGTCGCAGCTGCCTGTGGTTAGAAAGACGCCATAAAATGTAAAACACACCCCCCGTTCAGCTATCAGGAGAGAATATCATTCTCGGTTTGAACACTAAAATTATGAAACAAAGCCACTTCTGAAAGCATTTGTGGCTGTGTTGTTGACAGCACAGTAAAACACAGTGATTATAACAGATGTGTGAGGAACCACACGGACAGGTGAGGAACATCCTGTTCACGTATACTTGTGCCGTAGAGCAGGTCAAAGTTCATCAGTAAATCAGCAGTGAAACAGCAAATATGCAGAGGGTGTTAAAAATAAAAAAGCAGAGATATGAATCAATTAAAGCAGAAAAAGAGGCAGCAAGTGAGCTGCTAGCCTGTAGCTCTGTAAAAATAGAGGCTTCAAACAGGTTGATTTGTTTTACCTTCTAATTTAATCTGCTATGAACAGCAAATCTTTAACAAGACAGTCTGTTCCAGCTTTAGTTACTCACAGTGATCTCTGGGTCTAAAATGTGTTAGAGCCTCATTATTAATGTGGACTAATGTTTTTGACATAAATGCCTAAAATAATATACACACAGTAGGTTTAGTGCCCATTAAACTATGATAATGCTGAAGCCTCTGCTGGATATTAGAGGAACTGCAGTCTTTCTGCACATTTCTGAATAATTACCGATTTTTGTTAGCATTAA